GTCTGCAGCCATGCAGGTATGATGGCAACATGCAGTATAATGGTGTCTGTGCATTTTTAAGTAGCTCACTTTTATTGCAACTTTAATCTTTGCTGCAGCGGCTTTCCTTTATACTCTTGGCACTGAACTTCTTGCTGCTCGGTGGTAAGAAATGATGGCATCATCATTGATCCCTACAAAATAAGTCAAGAGCATGCTTTACTGTGTGTTCTCTGTGCAGACAGGAGGTAGATTAAGATGACTTTAACAGAGTGACAATATTGTGCGGATTAGAATGTGGCGACAAGAGATTAAGGTTTAGGTCTATCTGTATGTGTTGCTCTTCCCTCCCAGAGACAGCCACAGCTAAAGCTTTAAGGCAGCATGTTTTTGGCTCCAGATTAGGTCTAGCTTTTTGCCAACATCTGTCTGTCAGAAGGCTTCTGACTCTGGCGGTCATGCACGCAGTTAATCAGACTGTTATGATAGTTGCCATTTGGTCACAATGCACCGCAGGCGCATCACTGTGCAGCAGGATAGAAGCCAGCGTTCACAGGGTCATCTGTCTTGCAAGTCTTTGCTGTTTGTGCAGCCTCTAAACTCCCACAGAAGGGATACCTGGATGTTGGGGATGCAGGATATTGGATTTTTGGCATATATCCGATATGCCGATATGTTAACTTATTTGGCCGATAACCGATACTGATGTTTTTAATATACTTTCCTTTGTCAGAACATAGCCCTCTTATTTTGGCTTATTTGCTACAAAAATTGTGCAACAGCTGTAAGAGCTGGTGACATATATTCAGTAACAGCCATATGTATATCACTTTAACTTATATTAAATGAAAAGTGTTAAATGTTGTTTATTAGCATTAGTCACCTGCGATGCTGTCTCACTTGTGGAGGCTTGTTCCAGGTTCCTAGCTGCAGTGTGGGATCCTCTGCACTCTTGTGCATGAAGGACAACCTTTTTAAGTTCAAAGTTTTTGTCTATCCATTGTGCCATAAGACACATGCTAACGGGGCTAACACGACGTCCAAATGTCTGTGGTAAAACTCACCTAAGTGCCATCGGCTATTAGCTTCTCAATAATGTCGGAAATAACAGCTTGTCTTTCTGGTAAGGCTACATCGGAAAAATATCAGACTGGGGACGATGTAGCGAGGCTCAACGTAGTCCAAAAATCTTCGGAATCCAATATCCGCAACAACAAAAAAAAAAAAATCTTCCACACCGCCAACATTTTGACTTCTTCCACTCCACTGTAATCAGATCAGGTAGGTGCGTGTGACGTCATCACGTTGTGCTGGTGCTCCAGGCATCCTTGTCACTGGGTTGTCATACAAAAATAGCGCTTTTTATATCTGTGAGTTATTTTGATGGAATGGCAGATGTCCGATATTTAACTTTAATGCTAATATTGGCCGATACCATACCGATAATATCGTGCATCCCTACTAGATGTACAGTGTATCATCAGAAACCATCCCAGGTTAACTTTGACCTAGGTGGACAAGTTTCTAGATAGTCTGATGCTTAACCCTCCTGCTGCCCTTGGGTCAAAATGACCCCTGAGGCCTCAGGGGTTCTAAGCATGCTGCTTAACACAGCCTGACTCAATCCCTACCTTAACTATTTATAGTTTCTGCCCAGAGCTACCCCAAACCTAAAACCAGAGTTCTACAACCTTTTTTGCACCACGGACCAGTTTTATGATGAAGATGCATTTTCCATGGACCAGCAGCAGGGCTGTGAGTGTGAGGAGAGATTATGGGCATAACAAAACATAATGAAGTGCATCATACATAATTTAATAATTACCTCTTTAATTTAAATATACTAATAATTTTATATTTTGGAAGATCATTTAAATTATTCTTATAATGCTACTCCTTAGCAATGCAGTTATCCACTAAATACGATGCTTTTTGCAGACATTTAATGAAGTGAAAGCCTTAAATAATTGTTTCCGACCTTTGTATTCATGTTTGATTTTTCTTCCAAAATACTCAAAAGCTTGTCTTTTAATGAACTGTGTGTTTGTATTTATTCTCCATGTGGTGAAGCAGAGCCGATAGCCACATATCACACGGAGCGCTTCACTCACCTGATGTGATGAACCTATAGTTTAATTCTGTGTTTTCTTTTAAATGCAGCTTTTTATTTGGTGGTAGTTGTGGAGCCTTCTGCACTGTCATCTGCAGGCTTGTTTTTCCTTTTACAAAGAAGCTTTCCAGTCCCGTTTGTTGTTTACTCATTTTGCCAAAGTTGGTTTGAGAGCTTACTAGTGAAATGATGAAATATAAAAGCAAAACAGTGACTGGAGTCAGGCAAGAGCTAAAAAGGTGCAGACGGAAGTGATTGATTTTCAAAATAAAATGCCATGCAGACTAACAGAAATTGAAAAAATAATTTTATTTATTTCTTTGTAGCCCTGTACTAAATGATCCATGTCCCGGTATTGGTCCCCGGCCCAGTGGTTGGGGATTCCTGCCTCAAACCCAGTCATAATTCATACCTCCTACTTGAAACTGTAATAAAAATTTCAAAATTGATTGTATTTCAACTTATTGTGATCTCAGTTACCAGTAAATCATCATTAGTTAACAGCACATTCATCTGTAAAAAGAACAACCAGCTGGTCTACAATTTTGACCAAGACGTTAAAATGCTGTAGAGTGATTCTGTGTTAGGGTATTGGCTAAATACTCTTGTATTCAGGATATTTAGTATTCATATCTAAAGGCCATTAAAATAAACGAGTAGAAGTATGTAAACACAGTTTGATCAACCAATCCGATTCGGAGTTGTGGTCAGTGGCCAATACAGTACATCTGTATTTGTATCTTTTTCTGACTTCGTTCCATCAAGGTCAGCTGCAGAAAGAAAAGCTTTGCAGAGAGTGGTGAAAGCTGCACAGAAGTCTGTTGGAGTCAACCTCCCCACCATCACAGACATTTACACCTCCATATGTAGGAAGAGGGTCACCTGCATCATGAAAGACCCCACTCACCCAGCACACAAACTTTTTGCCCCAGTCTCCTCAGGAAGGAGGTTAAGGAGCATTACATGTAGAACCACTAGACTGAGGAACAGCTTCTACCCTGTGTCTGTTAGACTCATGAATCTCTAACCAGAATTATCACTGTGAAGAATTGCATGTTGCTGCTGATCTGTTTCATGTTGCTGCTGATCTGTTTCATGTTGCTGTGTTCATTCGTGCTCATCTGCTCACACAGACTCATGTTTGTGCTGCTGTTCGGCATATTGTGTTTTTATGCTATTAGTGCTTATTGTATATTTAGCTGATGTTTTTCTTAGTTCATATCTTGGATCTTATTACTGTTTTTCTTTTACATTTTATTGTTGGATGTAACTGGGACCCTGTGCACAAAATTTCGTTCCACCACAATAAAGAATCTCTGACTCTGGCTCTGAATTATACCGCAAAGGTATAATAATAAGATGATAAAGACACTGATATAAACATTTTAGTCTGCAATGTAATGATTTTTATACATCAGAACTTTCGTTCAGATAAAAGCTGCAGGCAGTCATGATTACTTGACACAGAAATATGTCTGTTTTTTTAAGATGGTGTCTGTCTCAGCTGTAATCTAATCAAACGGTAATGAACGCTTTAGATATACAGATGTTTGAATTCACCACTAGCTAAGGGTGGAATATCCTTATCAAGAGAAGCAGATATGTTGGTGAAAGGTAAACACCGCCTACATTTCTCTGGCCTTTCAATCTGTCTAACTGAAGTCTTGCTTGCTATGTTGTGGGTTTGGTATTGTATTTAATAAAAATTGTTTATTCCTTGGTCTATCAGTTTACATCCATAAGGCTTTTGATGTACCATATTTTCAGCTAGAACGGCAGAGGATCTGTTCATGGAAATGGTCTATTCTGATATTTAGACTATAAATATCTTTCAGAGATTTTTGACAGGAAACCGCTGTGAATTCCACTGTTGCTAATTATGGACAAGAGCCGATTTGAGACCAGCAAATACCCACACACTTTTTTGTCCCTTATGTTTTCAACATGCGCTAAAAGTGAAATGGAATGGATCTACCGGTATATATGTGGTTATTCTTCTTCTCATTTAAAGGTTCAGCTCTTGTGACCTCAAATTTGTCTTACTATTTGAAACAAAACCACTCTACATCAGAGCTTGCTCTGTGTAGGCCTGAGCTTTTGCCCATTTTTGAAGCACTGCAGATGAGTCTACATCACTCCCTGGGATGGGCTGTTATCAAGGGTGCTCAGTAATTCGAGTCAGTGATGAGGTCAGGATTCAGGAGGAGGCCTTTAATGAGATTTGCTAAAGGTGCTGTTGGTATTAATTTGATGGCTGCATGTATCTTACTAGTGGTGGCCTTCCAAAGTCATCTGGTCAGTGTGACATGAAATGAGATGAAATTGAAAAGTTTAATTGAAAAACTAAAGAATACACTGTGTAGCACACTGGCAGTTTTTTTTTTTTTTTTTTGTGTGTGTGTGGGGGGGGGGGGGGCTGCTGTAGAAAATGGTGTGCAGATTAAACAGATGAGTCTTTATAAAGAAACAGCTGCTGTCAGTGTGAAGCTAGATTAAATTTCAAGAATCAGGGAAATATCAGCGAAAATATTTGATATGTTGAGGATCCACAAGTGTTATGAGTTGCACAAGCATCAGTACTCCTCTCCCACTGTGTGTAGAAAACCTGTCACAGACAAGTAAATGGCATGTTGATGAAGGTAAATTTTTCATGTATGCAGTTGCTCGTAGCTTGTCTACGTCTGATTTATCTCTTCACGTTTCACTTCACACCAAACGTCAAATACATAAAACTGTTTGTGATTATGACAAAGACTAAATATGCTACTTAATATTTAGTTTCTGTATTAGTAAACCATATTTTTTACTAGATAAGATTTGAGACTTTCATTATACTTTAGTCACTTTTTTTTTTTTTTGCTGGACATAATCATTGCAACTCATTGGTTCTTTATTTTCTGTTCCCTCATAGGTTCCTGCTTTAAGAAGAACAAAGACAAGATTTGGAAGATTCAATATGTTCATGATTTTCTATTGAGGAATCCAAAAATGTCATATCTGTGATGGCAGCAGTTCCCCACAATCTCCTAGATCCATGATCAGTCATGCCAACTCTGTATCACTCACAGAGGGACCGTCCCTGTACATATGCAGGACTGGTTCCTTACACCAATTTTAAAAAATAACTATGCTTCATTAAAGAAATGGCATCAACTTGTGTGGAATATGACACAGAGTACATACTAGAGTACAGGTGAGGCTCAGCCTCTACCTAGTATCCATACAGGACTCGGACGAGATACACATCAGGTGACTTTTACAGTAAAAAAGAGTTTACCCCAGATGTAATAATTTAGGATCCATCCCACTACCTTGTGGACAAGGTCAAGAATGGCTGCTGCTGCTCTCTATAGCAATGGTTCCTTGATTAAAGAAGGACCAGTTTAAAAGGGTCAACAATGCAACGCAACATTAGTGGAGTAGGTGTTGGAGGCCAGCCATGGGTGTTGCGCCGGGTGCGTCTCACATGGCTCAGTTTTATGCTCTTCTTCATCTTGGTCTTCTTTCCACTAATTGCTCACTACTACCTCACTACTATCGATGAAGCTGGTGGTCCCGATAAGCCCATATTTGGGCGCCGGCCAGGGGGTGAACTGTGCGAGGCAAAACATGTGCAGGACTTGTGTCGCATCCGTGAGTCAGTCAGCGAGGAGTTACTGCAGCTTGAAGCCAAGAGGCAGGAGCTCAACGGCGAGATCACCAGACTTAACCTCCGGATCGAGGCTTGCAAGCGAAGCATCGACAGCGCCAAACAGGATCTACTGCAGCTAAAGAATGTCATCAGTCAGACTGAGCATTCTTATAAGGAACTGATGGCTCAGAACCAGCCCAAACTGTCGTTGCCTGTCAGGTTGCTGCCAGACAAGGAGGACCTGGGACTACCACCACCCAAGTCTGTACGTTCCTGTCGCTTACACTCTTGTTTTGACTATGCGCGCTGTCCTCTGACATCTGGATTTCCTGTGTATGTGTATGACGTGGGTTCTTATACATGGGGGGACTATCTGGACCCACTTGTGAAGCAGGCTTTTGCAGCATCTGTTAAGAGCAACATTTATGTAACTGATAACCCCAGCATTGCCTGTTTATATTTGGTACTGGTGGGAGAGATACAGGAAACCTCCCCTCTACCATCCCCCTTGGAACTGGAGAAACAACTGAAAGCTCTTCCTTACTGGAGATCTGATGGACACAATCATGTATTAGTGCATCTCTCTAGAAAGTCTATGACACAGAACTTTCTTTATAATGTGAGCACGGCACGAGCAGCAGTCGCTCAATCCACATTCCTGGAGCAGCAGTATCGTGAGGGCTTCGACTTGGTTTTATCCCCACTGGTTCATGCTCTTTCGGAACCCAACTTTTTGGAAGTACCACCTCAAGTTCCAGTAAAGAGGAAGTACCTTTTCACTTTTCAGGGTGAGAAGGTCGAGTCTCTGAAGAGCAGCTTACAGGAGGGTCCTCCTCAGTCATTTGAGGAAGAACTTGAGGGTGATCCACCAGCTGACTATGATGATCGAATAATTGGCACTTTAAAAGCTGTCCAGGACAGCCACCTCGATCAGGTGTTGGTAGAGTTTACCTGCAAGAACCCAAAGCCAAGTTTGCCAACAGAATGGGCTCTTTGTGGGGAAAGGGAGGACAGGCTGGAGGTGCTCAAGGCTTCTACATTTGCCCTGGTGATCGCTCCAGGAGATGGACTAATGGTGGCCTCAGCTGGTTCTGCTATGAGGCTATTTGAGGCCTTAGAAGTGGGGGCCATCCCTGTTGTGTTAGGAGACCACTCTAAATTACCTTACCACCAATTTATCCGCTGGACTGAAGCTGCCATTATAGTCCCAAAACCCCGTGTCACAGAACTTCACTTCCTGTTGCGCAGCCTATCAGACAATGACATGCTAGCTATGAGGCGGCAAGGCCGCTTTTTGTGGGAGACCTACTTTTCAACCTCAGAAGATGTTCTCAATACCATCTTGGCAAGTATCAGAACCAGCATCCAAGTGCCGGCAGCACCAATCAAGGATGAACCCGCCATTGAGATTCCTCATAAAGCTGGGAAACTGGCTGGAACTGATGCCAATCTGGCCGACAACGGAGATCTGGATCTGGGTCCTGTTGAGACAGAGCCTCCCTACGCCTCTCCTCGCTTTCTTCGCAACTTTACATACACTGCTGCAGACACGTATAGATCATGGAACCAAGCCCCGGGGCCTTTCCATCTGTTTCCTCACACACCTCTGGACCCTGTGCTGCCCTCTGAAGCCAAATTCCTTGGCTCCGGTACTGGCTTCAGACCAATTGGTGGAGGCTCAGGAGGCTCTGGGAAGGAATTTCAGGCTGCTCTGGGTGGGAATGTGCCCCGGGAGCAGTTCACTGTGGTGATGCTAACTTATGAGAGAGAGGAGGTGCTGATGAACTCTCTGGAGAGACTGAATGGGCTGCCGTACCTGAACAAGGTGGTGGTGGTGTGGAATTCGCCAAAGCCTCCTTCAGATGACCTGCTGTGGCCTGACATCGGCCTACCTATTGTTGTGAGTACGGTGCTGTTAATTAGTGTTTTTAAATAAATTCGATCATTTTTTGCTAACAGAAACTTCAAGGAAAGATGCAACAATAGGCGTGTTATATTTACTAATTTAATTTTTGTCACTTTTTGTTAGATGTGATATAAAAATTGTGTGAACAGAAACATGTAGAACTTTGCCAGTGCTCTCTTTTGTTTTGCTGAGCTCTGTTATGCTTCTTGTTGCAGATCGTCCGCACAGAAAAGAACAGCCTCAACAACCGCTTCCTTCCCTGGGACGTTGTGGAAACTGAGGCCATCCTCTCAATCGACGACGATGCTCATCTCCGCCATGATGAAATCATGTTTGGGTTCAGGTCAGTGAACCTCAGAGATATGAGGTATAATTAGGCCTGTCTCTATAAACAGTAAACCAATTAATTGCATGATAAATTAAAATCATCTACCTAATTTTCATTTATTGGCTTTATCTTATATTTATTGTCTTGTCAAAGCTCCAAAATTCACGGTTGAAACCCGTGCCTTTGTGTAAAAATTGTTTTTCTCTGCAAAAAGAAGCTGAGAACTTGTTTACTGCTTGTTTGTTTGTTTTTTTTATTAAAAGCTTTGCGTGACAAATGCTATGCTAAAGAACTCAAACCACACTGAGCTTTTGTCATTTTGAGAACAGAAAAATAGTAATGAGAGACAGCCCATGTTGCGTCAAGGGGCCTCCCTCCCATTTTTCTTGGAGACACATTGCTTGCTCCCTCACTATCCATCCTTTGGTTCAAACAGTCTTATACTGCCATCGAGTGGCCAATAAAAGGTACTACACACAAAAATTAACCAACATTTCTTCTTCAATTTGACTATTCCTAATTATTGTCAAATTTCAAACAATATTATCATTTATCACAATAATTTCTGAGACAATCGCCCAGCAAAATTTATTGTTACAGGCCTAGGTATAATCCTGATGAAAAATGTTTATTTATTTTATTATTAGGGCAGCTGTGGCTGAGTGGTTAGAGCAGTCATCCTCCAATGCGAGAGTTGGGGGTTCGAATCCACCAGCAATCACATGCCGAAGTTTCCCTGGGCAAGACACTGAACCCCTCATAGCCTCCGATGTGTGTCCCATCAGTGTATGAATGTGATAAAGCTCTCTTTAGAATGATTTGTTCAATTAGCTTTGTAGAGATCTAGTAGAGTATGAATGGGTAAATGAGGGCACAGATTGTGTTGTAAAGCACTTTGAGTATCTTGATCAGATAGAAAGGTGATATATAAGTACAGTCCATTTATTGGTTTTTTTATTTCTCATCTGTGATTTAACTGTTAACTAAAAACTGCTTCATGCCAGAACCGATTTTCAAAGGGATTTTGTTTTAACGAACAAAGACCAATACTTCATTTACAAGACAAACTTATTGGAATGAAAATCAGATGCTCGTTTACATCAAACTTTTGTCAGAAGTGATTAAACAGTAATACAAAGTTTGTTTTCTCAGTCATCCAGGTATATAACAACAAAAAAAG